TAGTAGGATTGCCAGATTTCTGGAAATCTAGAACAAATGTAGAACATGCCTGAAGTCAGTCTGGCTGAGAAAAGCGAGAAACTTCAGCAGGTCCAGCTGTACAGCAGTGCTACCAGGGTCAACTGTGGTGAGGAAAAAGAACCATTCTCTGTTCTCTGGGATAATGGAGAGGTCGAAAATCCTCAATAATTGGAGAAGTTGAGGCCTTGGACACTTGCAGCCTTCTCCAGGCTGCCCCAGCCCAGCTCTCTCAGCCTGGCTCCAGAGCAGAGCTGCTCCAGCCCTCACAGCATCTCCATGGCCTCCTCTGGCCTCGCTCCAACAGCTCCACGTCCCTCTTGTGCTGCTGCCCCAGAGCTGGATCAGGGCTGCAGGGGAGGTCTCCCCAGAGCACAGCAGAGGGGCAGGATCCCCTCCCTGAGCTGCTGCTCACACTCTGGGGGTGCAGCCCAGCACACAGGGGGGCTTCTGGGCTCAAGGGCACACTGAATTCAGGTCATGGGGAGCTCCTCCTCACCCAACATCCCCAAGTCCTTCTCCTCGGGCTGCTTCATTCCATCTCCCCCAAACTGTGTTTGTGCTGGGGATTGGCCCAACCTGTGTGCAGGCCCTTGGTCATGTTGAACACCACGAGGTTCACACAGTCCCACCTCTCCAGCCTTTCCAGGTCCCTCTGGATCCCATCCCTTCCCTCCAGCATGTAACTGCACCACACAGCTCCATGTCATCAGTAAACCTGCTGACAGTGCTCATTCCCACTGTCCGTGTCACCGACAAAGATGTTAAAACAGGATCAGTCTCAACCCTGACCCCTGAGAAACATCACTCGTCACTGGTCTCCACTTGGACATCAATTTGCTGATCTCACTTCTTTGGGTGCAACCATCCAGACAACTCCTGAGTGGTCCATCCATTAAATCTCTCCAATTCAGAGACAAGGATGCGGTGCGGGACAGTGTCAAATGCTTTGCACAAGTCCAGGTAGATGACATCAGCCGCTCTTCTCTTACCCACCAACGCTGTCACTCTGTTGTAGAAGGGCACCAATTTGTCAGGTGATTTGCCTTTAGTGAAGCCACATGCCTGTCACCAGCCGCCTCCTTATTTGCCACGTGCCTTTTCCATAAGCAGCAAAGAAAGTGGAGGTTGGTTTGATTCAGAAAGTCTTTCATTTCTCAAGCTAGAAAATCATAGAATCACAGCATGGTTTGGGTTGGAAAGGACTTAGGATCATCTAGTTCAACCCCCCTGCCGTGGCCAGGGACACCTCACACTAAACCATCTCACCCAAGGCTCTGTCCAACCTGGCCTTGAACATCGCCAGGGATGGAGCATTCACAACCTCCCTGGGCAACCCATTCCAGTGCCTCACCCCCCTAACAGGAAAGAACTTCCTTCTTAGATCCAATCTAAATTTCCCCTGTTTAAGTTTTAACCCGTTACCCCTTGTCCTATCACTACAGTCCCTAATGAAGAGTCCCTTCCCAGCATCCCTATCATCCAGGTCACTTTTTAATGTATTGTCAAAGCTGTGAGCTCCTGCCCCTGAACTTGAGCTCTTTGCCTTCCTCTCTTCTTTCTTCCCACTTTGTGAAGATCTCAATAGCTTTTATGCCAGCCGGATGCTTCCCTTGCTTCAGATGCACGTGCCTGGGAGTATGTGGCTCTCACCTGGTTGAAAAGTTTTGCTACTCTTCTGCCTCCCAGATTCCTTGGTCTCCTCTTTGAGACCTTTACAAGGTGGTATATCCAGTGCTGGCAGCCTGTCTGTGGGCTTTGCATGTTGCAGGACCCATCCCTTCCTCATCACAGGGAATGGTGCATTATCCTGGATGCATGAGGTCTGCTGTCTCCATGGCATCAACAGGATGAGTAGCTTGGCTCTGATGTTAAGATGGCATTCCCATGTGGAACATCTGGCTCATTGCTTGACATCAGATCATTTATCTTCTGTGAGGAAGTCAGACTATCTTCTGGTAGTCACCAATTCCTCTCTCTTTGCTGTATGAGCACTAACATTGCTAGCAGTGGAATATTGAAATATTCCTGGAATTTCCATCCTTGAGACTTCCTTTTCTTCTTTACCTTTCCCCAAAGGCTGTTGCTTTTAACTTAGAGCTCACTGAACGCTCCCTTGTGCAGCCTCTCACAGGGTTTTATGTGCAGCACAGCCAGGTGGGTACAGGAACGCTGCCAGGGCTGGGGAAGCACCAGCCAAGGGGACAACACAACACGTGAAACCTTTTCATCTCCTTTGCTTTTTCCGGGTTGGATTGAGAAGTGTGACCAGCAGGGCTCTCCTCCCCTCCGGGATTTACGTGAGGTTGTACTGCTGACAGCTTCTCATTCGGTGTGTTTCTTCTCGTCTTCCCTGGCAGTTGTAATGCTTCCCAGGCAGGAGAAGGGCAGCTCCTGGAGCATCCGCTGTCCCACCTCCGGGCCCGCTGCGAGTGGGGGGTGCAGTGGTGGGAGACCTCCACCTCCTGCAGCTGGACTGGGGGGCCCTGGGGAGCGTGCACTGGCAGGAGCTGCTCCTCTGCAGCACACTCACTGTGCATCCTGTGAATCATTCCCAAATCATGCATGTAATGAGTCTCATAACTGGTCCTTTGAAGCTGGATTTTCACAGAGATGATGTTCATTGAGGAACTTTGAAGTTAGAATGCTTTTTCTTATTTCTGCTTTCCACTCTTTTGTCAGTTTGGCTGGATTTGCTTTCAGATTTCCCCAAATGCAGTCATTTGCCCTTTCTTTGCCTGCTCAAAGAATGTGACCTTTGGGAGAGCAAACCTGGTAAATGTACACGTGTGCGTAAGGAGAGGCAGAGAAAGATCCTGGATTGAAACAAGCTTGGGGGAAACCAGAGATTCGTACTTGACTTTGCTGCTGTGGCCTGATTTGCCAAAGGCAGAGGGAAGGTTTCCTGTTCTCCAGCCATCACCAACTGCTTCCAGCTCCAGCTGAGGAGGTGGAGCACAAATTCTGGGCCTCAGAAACACAAAACCCTCCACATAATCCTTGTTGTGCTGAGGATAGTAAGACTATTTCTGCTGATAAAGGATGATAGTAGAGGTGTGCGTGCTGTACTGAGTCACCACGTTAAATATATCCCTTCGTCACAAGTTGGTGGTGGAATGCAAATGAACCTCGTGTTCCTAAAGCTGTTGTGGTGGGAGGGCAGGGAAGCGCTTGGCAGCTGGAGCTGCCAGCACTGCCCTGACTTTGCCAGTGTCGGGAGGGTTTGGTTTCTGCTGCCTGCCTCATCCAAGGCTTTCCTCTCAAATGCCAACCCTAGCTTTAAAAGAAAAAGGAGGTTTTGATGGTCCCAGCATGGACAGGCAAATCTCAGCCTGTTCTGACACCTTTTCATGCTCTGAGCTGCAACATAGGATCATAGAATGGTTTGGGTTAAAATCATCTAATTCCAACCCCCTGCCATGGGCAGGGACACCTCATACTAGACCATGTTGCCCAAGGCTCTGTCCGACCTGGCCTTGAACACTGCCAGCTTCTCTGGGCACCCTGTGCCAGCGCCTCAGCACCCTCACGAGGAAGAGCTTCTGCCTTATCTCCAACCTGAACTTCCCCTCTTTCAGTCTGAACCCATCACCCCTTGTCGTATCACTCCAGTCCCTAATGAAGAGTCCCTCCCCAGCATCCTTGTAGCCCCCTTCAGACACTGGAAGCTGCTCTGAGGTCTCCATGCAGCTTCTCTTCTTCAGGCACTTTGTTTTCACCCAGCCCAGCTTGATCCAGCTATTCCTTTCCCCATCAGCTGTGGGTGCTGCTGGGTGAGGGAATGGTCTGGGAGGCTCAGTGGGGACTGGGATTGCTGGGAGGGATGGGAAGGGCAGAGGGGGCTGCAGATTCCGGGGGCACTGCATGGAGGGATATACCAGGTTAGTCCAGAGCAGTTTTTCCAGTTTGTTTTCCTGAGAAGCAGTCCTGGGTTTGCTGTACTCCCACCCATCTCCCTGTGGTTCTTTCACGTGATAAAAGAATGCTTTTCACCTTGTTCTGCAAACACTTTTGCCTCTGCTGGCTGTGGTGCAGCTCTGCTTTGGGGTTTATTTTTTCTCAGATGTATAAGAAATCAACAAAGAGTTCAAGTGATTTCACCAATCATGGTATCCCAGCCTGGTTTGGGCTGAAGGGACCTTGCAGCTCATCCAGTTCCAGCCCCCTGCCATAGGCTGGGACACCTTCCACTAGAGCAGCTTGCTCCAGGCCCCTTCAGGAGCGTAGGTACTTCAGTTTCTCTCCTCTTACTCACGTGTTGAGCTCCCTTTGTGTTGGCTGCTGGTGTTCTGCAGTGTCTCAGGACACGAGCATCGCAGCAGCAGTTCCTGCAGTAAGACAGGCCAGTTCTGCCTTTTTCTGGCAGACCCAGGGTCAGCTTCTCACTTCCCTTGTTCCTTTGAGCTCTCCAAGAGTCTTCCTGTGGAGAGAAGCCATGGGATGGGTGGGGGCAGAGCAATGTTCAATGTCTGTCTAAAGCACTGTGGCTTTGCTGGAGCGAGTGCTGCTGCAGCTTTGTGAGTGGAAGTGGTTCCTCGGCCAGCACAGCCTGGGGTGGGCAGGATTTAGTCCTGTGATGATTCAGGTGGGATGTGCAGGCAGCTCAGCTATGGGCAAGTCACCTTTCACCAGCTAACCAGGACTCACTGGAAAGCCTCAGGCCCCAGAGCATCACGTCAGGACCTGCAAGACTTGAGATAAATTCCTGGCTGGTGTCAGGCGTATGAGCACCACCAGGCTCGGAAGGGAAGGGCTCTCTCAAGCTATTGGCCTCTCTTGTTGCACAAGCCATGGCCATACGCTCTCCCTGTGGTGGTGAGGGCGTGTTTCCACCTCGGGATGACTGACTGGGTGAGCTGAGGCAGAACAATCACTGGCTCTGCATCCCATGGGAAGCAGCTGTTGTTACTCCATATGGCAGACCCTGTGCGGGACCGGTGCTGCTCGGAGCCGCTCACCTCTCTTCCCTCCTCTCGTTGCAGGTGGCCATCATTGCAGGCAATTTTGAACTGGCTGAAATCATCAAAACCCACAAAGAGTCTGATGTTGGTGAGTTGGAGCTTTCTTCTTCCCCCTTTTCTCCCTTTTGAATCTTGCTGTGGAGCCCAGGGCTATGGGACTGTGTGTTGACGGTGGTTTCCTGGTGCTGCCGGCAGTGGCAGGTGGAAGCTGCAGCTTGCAGCCACTTTTGGGTGGGGGAGTGGCAGGACAGAGCTGCTTTCCTCCTGGGGCATCAGGATCTGGTCTGTTTGTTCAGCCCAGCGCTTGCTTCTGACTGCGGAGATTGCCAAGATCAAGAGTCAGGCAAACATTTAGTCTGGAGTAGCTCTGAAAAGGTCTTCCATAAAATAGCTTACATTGCTCTCGCTCTCTGCACCCTTGAGGCCATTTCATCCTGGAGATCCTCTCCTGCTAAAGCTCTTAACTGGGCTGGAGCAAGGAGGAGACATTCTCTGTCTCAGCAGGGATAATGGTTATAGAGCTGCCCTACACTGAAGCTCGTGTAAGGCAAAGCAGCAAAGCAGCAGCCATCCTGTTTGTACTTGCTTCTTTATGGAGGAACGTTTTAGGGTTTTCTGGTCAGCCTTTTTCCTTGCAGCATCTCTTCTGTCCTCCTGTGGAGTGGGTATGACAGTGCGGTACGTTCCATGCCAAACTGAGCTTTAGTCAGGTATAAAATCAACACTTGTTGAGTTTTCTTGAATTATTCCGAGAATGTATTGGTCCAGAGCTCTGTGGAGCAGGGGAGGAAGCAGTGCACAGTCAGCTCTCAGCATGTGAGCCTCCACAGAATGTACAGAGTCATTGGGTCAGAAGCTGAAAAAAGGCTCGTGGAGTTTGAAAGAGCCACAAAGTATTGATCTTGGTTCTCAGAAGTGGCTGTGAGTGTAGCAGCCTGGGCCCCAGGACATCCTTCATCGCATCTTTTCTCAGCAAGGCATCGCTGATAGCTGCAATCAGCTGCTGGGGAGTTTTGGGAAGATTAAGCATCAGAAAGGACATGGAGAAAAGCCTGAAAATTCCTTAAACTGATGTCAGTGGACAGTGCTTGCAAGAAAGCCTCCCTATTATTTCAAGGGAAAAGTGACTCTTTGCTATGAGAGGGGCTTTGGAGCAGGTGACCTCCAAAAGTCCCTTCCAGCCAGAACCCATGATTGACTGGCGCAGTGACTTCTGTTGAAACAGTGGAAGGAAAAAGGCAGGGAAACACCTCAGGTCTGGGAGTTGTTCTTGCTTCAGGAAGGGCTGTCTATGTAAAGTAGGTCAGGTAACAGTTGCAAACCGAGCACAGGCAGACCAGCAGGTCCAGATGGTTTCCACCCGGGGTCAAGGGAGCTGGCAGAGAACTGCCCGAGCAAGGGGAAACTGTTTTCTGAAGTTCGTTATGAACGGAGAGGTGCGAGTGTGTGACTGGGAGTGCAGAGTGGTGTTACTGGGGAGAGGAATGGGCTCTGCTGGGTCTGGGCTTTGCTCTGATGGTTCCATCAGAACAAAATAAAGAAATACTGAAACAGAGAATATGGGAAGGAGCACAGGGAGTGCTGGCTAATGGAGAAATGGGTGTTGGCTGAAGAGAAGCTCCCCATGACCTGGATTCAGTGTGTGCTTGAGCCCAGAACCCCCCCGTGTGCTGGGCTGCACCCCCAGGGAGTGAGCAGCAGCTCAGGGAGGGGATCCTGCCCCTCTGCTGTGCTCTGGGGAGACCTCCCCTGCAGCCCTGATGCAGCTCTGGGGCAGCAGCGCAAGAGGGACGTGGAGCTGTTGGAGCGAGGCCAGAGGAGGCCATGGAGATGCTGTGAGGGCTGGAGCAGCTCTGCTCTGGAGCCAGGCTGAGAGAGCTGGGCTGGGGCAGCCTGGAGAAGGCTCCTGAAGGGGAGACCTGAGAGCAGCTCCAGTGCCTGAAGAGGCTGCAGGAAAGCTGGAGAGGGGCTTGGGACAAGGGCCTGTAGGGACAGGCCAAGGGGAATGGCTTTAACCTGCCCGAGGGGAGACTGAGCTGAGCTCTTAGGCAGAAGCTCTTCCCTGTGAGGGTGCTGAGGCGCTGGCACAGGGTGCCCAGAGAAGCTGTGGCTGCCCCATCCCTGGCAGTGTTCAAGGGCAGGTTGGACACAGGGGCTTGGAGCAAGCTGCTCCAGTGGAAGGGGTCCCTGCACATGGCAGGGGTTGGAGCTGGAGGAGCTTTAAGGTCTCTTCCAGCCCAAACCAGCCTGGGGTTCTATGAATCTTCTCAAATTTCCAGTGTCAGACTGCACTTGTCTGTCTCAGACAAGAATTGGTGGCCCCCACCGTCAGAACTGTTTGGAGAGGACCTGCTGTGTTTAGGCTGATTTGGAAGGATGGTTTGCTGTAGCTTTTGCTCCATTCTGCAGGACAGCCCTTAGCACCCAGCTGTACTTCCAGGCTCCTGGAGCGTTTATGTGTTTCCGTCTGGATCCGGAGAGCTCTTCTGTGCTGGAGCTGACTGCCCCTGCCTGCTGTGCTTTGTTGTGCAATGCAGAGCAATGCTAGAGGGTGGGAACTGAATTTTTCAGGTGAAAATAACCCAGAAACTGTGTTCCAGAAGAAGACCCGATGTGCTCCATCTGCTGACAGGCAGCCACTGAGCTCACGGGTCCAGCCAGGGTCACTCAGTTTGAAGTGCAATGCCCAGTGTGGATGTGGAGGGGGATAGTAACAATTCTTCACAGCCCACAGGGCTGCAGGACTTCCCATGTGGGCTTCGCTGTGGTTCCCTGTGCTCAGGTCTCCATCCCTTCAGTCAGTGCTGTGTATTTGATCCCAGACACCAGCACTGGAGTCCAAGATTGGAGTAGAAGGTTGCAAATATGGAGGGTGGGGGAGAACATGTGCTTACAAATAGAAAACATGTGGAGACTGGAACTGGGCTGTTAAAGAACGTTCTTGCTCCAGGTTTCCCACAGCACAGCCTCAGAAGTCCAGTTCTTAGAAAATAACTTAGTAATTGAGTGGTCCAGGAATAGGAGCATCTTGAGCTGAGCTTTTATATCCTCATGTTCCCTGCCCCTGACCATCACACACTGCTCAGTGCCTTGTGTGCACCTCTTGGTCCAATGGTGAACGCTGGTCTGTGGTCTCCTCATCCATCATTGGGCTCTTTCCCATCACTGGGTCCTTTTGCTGAAGCCGCCTTAATTTTTTTCTTATGTGTGGTCTGTTGCTCCTTGCAACAGGTCTCAAGGCCTTGGTTTAGGCCTGAGCCTAAGCACAAGTTGGAAATAAAGTTCACCCTTATCTAGGTGGGGGTTGCTAGAGCCTTGGCCACAAGGAATTAACTTCAGCTTCCCATGCTCATCAGCTACTCATGCTAAGCAAGACCACCCAGTCAAAACAGCTGAGCTAAAGAAATCCAGCTAACTCAACTTAGTTCACAACAGGGCTGCTCCATCACCTCTGTCTGTTTCCTTATTCTCATGTTTTACGGATCTGCAGAGAGTGCCATGAATAGCAACTGCTGCACTTTACTGCCTTGGTTGGACCTGAGAGCTTGTACCCTGATGGCTTCTCAGTGCTACCAACAGCCTCTCTGTGGCATGTCCTGGTGGATATGCTTGTTGGTCAGTCCAGCCTCTGCCGTTGCTCATACGGGAATGGTTTCTGAGGAGCAGAGAGGGAAGCCCATTCCGTTTCCCAAAGCAGCAGGAGGGTCTCCTTGCATGTGGCTGCAGAGCCTTGGCTCCAAATGCTCCCGCACATTTGGAGATGATCTCAGTTGAGCGCATTTACTGGTGATGCCCTGGGGACGTTCTCAGGCCACCTACTCCCTGCTCCAGGAATCTGCAGTGGTTTGCATGGGCCGCGAAAGGAGAGCTCGCTCCCGGTGTCTGGCTCCCAGCACAGCCCCTGGCAAAGGCACTGGAAAAGGGCTGTGTGCTGAATGAGAACACCGGGAGCTGGCCAGTACCAAACAGTGCAACCAGGCTAGTGTCTGAACCTTGGGGCCTCCTGGCACGGACGTCTGCTTGTCACAGTGCTGTTCAAGTCTTAAATCCGTGTCAACGTTTATCAGTGAAATGTGTGACTCTGAGGTCAGGTGTGCACCACAGGCCCCGGTTTTCACCACAACATCTGCAGTGGTGGTAATTGCACGCGGTTTATATCAGCTGGGTGCTGTGCCAGCTCCTCAGTGGTTTCCATGAGCCATCTTTTGGGCAAGGTCTCTTAGCCTGCAAGTTTTAATGTATTTGTGTCAGAGAATTAGTGGCTGCCTCAGTGGCTGCCTCTGCTTTGTTATCCTGACACAAATGTGTCTTCCTGCTTCTTCTAGAAACACTTCTGCATCCACAGGACAACCCAAAAAGTTTTTTTTGATGTTCCTTACATTCTGCAAAGCACTTCTTTCTCTTTACTGCTTGAGCTCCCCTTGAGTGCATTGTAACTTTACATTGATTTCACTTCTTTTCCACAATGACAGAATAAATACATTCTGCAGCACCCACTGATATCTTCATTCTGCCCCTTTAGTCCAAACGGGGGTTTTAACCCAGCTGCCTGACTTCTTAATTTTGAGGTTATAACTTCCATTTGTTTGCAAATGTTTCACAACCTCCTGATTTTCATTCGTATTTTCTCTCCCTACATGAAAGTCACTCTGGAGGAACAATATCACAGTAGTCCCATGATGAGAAATCAGCCCAAAGTGTTACATGTACGTAAGAGTGGTTGGGGCTGTCTTCCCCATGTAATATAGTCAGGTCATGATTCATGGTCACTAAGCAACCACCAGCTTCAAGTCAAAGGAATTAATTCATTATCAGTCATAAGGAGCCTCAAACAGTTACCCCGTATGACACTGGACACCCTTTTGTTGGAGGATGAGCATCTGCAGCTCTGGATGAGATCACTGGCTTTTGTTTGCCGAACTGAAGTGCTCCATAACAGCACAGGTTTTCCTTACGTGTGCTGGCAGGGGTGGGGCATAACCCCCATCCCTCAGTGACCCCATGGTGGTCCTTGCTTTTGGGATGTGTTGGTCTCTTGGCTCACATCTGTTTGAGACCCCACAGCCCTGAGGTACGTGAGCTGTGTCC